CGGGCTACTGGGTAGCGTCGCGGCTGGGTGAGAAACGACAAGGGCGCGAGCGAGCTGGCTGGCTGCGCTGGCTGGGCTGGCGGGCAGGAAAGGCCTTGGCTTGGCTGCGGGAGGCCCGGGGGGGCTGCTGCGCTGGCTGGGCTGATACTCTTCTTTTCTATTTGTGCAAACAGAAATAGAAACAGAAAAGCACAGGGTAAAAGGAGAGGAATTAGAGTATAAAGAAAATATTCTCAAGCTCCTGGAATTATCCACTATTTGAATAAATTGCATTGGGCATTTTTAGATGTAAAAAAATAAAACAAGTTTGAATATAATTCAAACTTGTGTCATTTTTGAACCTGACCAAAACAACTTCAAATAAGAAGATATTTGGCAGAGAGGTTTAGGGCATGGAGCAAGATTTATAGGGAGACTATGAACATTTAAGGAGAAGGTAAAAGGTGCACTTGCAAAAAGAAAGAAAGGAAGGAAAGGAAGGAGAAATGGTGATGATGCAAGATTTATACATTGAGCATGCCACAACATAATAGGTATGAGATCACAACATGCACATGATGAGGATGAATGCAAAATGACAAGAGGCACAAATGCAATATGGTAAGGTGAGCATGACAATGAAAAGAATAAAACACATAACCAAACAAGATGAGGCCAAACATGATAAAACCCACAAGAAATGGATGAAGGTCAAGTTGATACATTGCCAAAATGGGACATGTTACAACTGGGGTGTTACAATATTCCTCGTCACTGTCCTCCTTGTCCTCAACTTTGTCTGACTCTTTTTCCTTATCTTTGTGCTGCTTTCCTTGGAACTGCTGTATCAGGAGTCGACACTGTCGAGTGGTATGCTTCGGGTAAATGAAGTTACCCTCTTCATCTTTCTTCGTGTGGATGTGACACGGTAAATCCATCACGTTGTTTCCTTCTTTATCTTTTACTTTTTTGGGGTTCCAAGGCCCTTTGGGCTTTCCTTTGAACTTCCCTTGAGTCACGGCCAAGGCTTCTCCAGGAGCGGCTGGCTCGGCTTTCTGCTTCTGCTTCCGACTGGAGTTCCCTCCTCCGGTTTCCTGGGCGACTGACTTATGCTTGCCGCTCCGGAGCCGATCCTCTTCCTCACCATTGGCATATTTGGTGGCTATTTCCATCATTCGACTCAGAGACATGTCTCTGGTTCGACCGAATTTCAGGCTTAGCTCTCTGTACTTTATGCCCTCCTTGAAGGCGCAGACCGCCTGGTGATTAGATACATTCTCTACTGTGTGATGCAGTGTGATCCATCTCTGGATGTAATCCCTCGAAGTCTCATTCGACTTCTGCACACAAGATTGCAGCTCTGTCAGTCCTGTTGGTCGCTTGCATGTTCCTTCGAACGTTCTGACAAACACTCGGGAGAGGTCCTCTCAAGTGTAAATGCTGCTGGGTGTCAACTGATTCAGCCATGCTCTGGCTGACCCTTCCAACATAAGAGGTAGATGCTTCATGGCCACCTCGTCATTCCCGCCGCCGATCTGAACAACCACTCGGTAGTCCTCAAGCCAAGTATCGGGCTTAGACTCACCGTTGAACTTGCTGACTCCAGTCGCCAACCTGAAGTTGGAAGGAATCACCGCGGCTCTGATGGCTCTGCTGAAGCACTCTGGTCCAGAGACATGCACTCGGCTGCTAGTGGGTATATCTCTGTCGTTACCCTCTCTGTGGGCTCTGTTTCGGTCGACCAGACCTTGAACGATGATGGATCTCGCATCAAAGCCTGGTTCCCTGGGGTCGACCGGAATCCTTCGCCCGCCACTGTGCTGGCGTCTATCATCCTGCTGTCGAGGCATATAGGACCCACCCCTTGGGGGGAGTATGCACTCGACGTCGATCGTTACGATCGAATCGGTGATCATACTGCTCATGGTTCCTGTGCTGATCATGCCAGTCACCATGCCCTTCACGCCTCGGGGGCGATCTGGGGCTATGAGCCGACTGGACCGTATTTGCTGCCACGGACCTGCTGTGAATGCTGTTCCGCGACTGCAACACAGCTGAGTTCTGATCTCCCGCTGCCCGGAGCAAATCTCTGATCTGCATCAAGCCTCTGCCAGCCTCTGACTGGGAAGGCTGAATTGATTCTGCTATACGGGCTGCGGCTGCTAAATTCTGAATCGGAGTTCGATATACCTAAGTCGGAGGTGGAAAGAGCTGGCGTCGACTGGAGTCTAGAATCCGTTGTCGCGCGCGCTCGTCGAGTGCCCGCTGAAGGTTCTCCAGTCGAGTGCGCTCGGCCAGGTTGGTCAAGCGCGCGTCCTCCAAGGCGCGAGCCTTAGGGGTTTCTCCAACAATCGGAGTGTGAAGCGCATCCATGTTCTGGCGGCGAAGCTCTTCCCTCTGCTGCGAATTGAGGGGCTCAGGGAGATATTCCTCATGGGCGTGCGACGGATCGTCTCCGCCGTTGCCCCCCTCAGCACCGGGAAAGCCGGGGGGAACGTGCGATCCATTGACCATCAGGACCTCCGCCGCTGGATCACTGTTGTCGCACTCGGATGTAGTCTCTGCGGAGCCAGTCGAACAGGCCGTAGAGAGATTCGTCGGGCTCGATTGCCGCGACTTGGGCGGTGGTTGACTGGCGAGCCACCGCGTGTCTCACCCACCGCTGAAGCCTCGACCGACCGGAGCGCTTACGCCGGCGAGAAGCGGGGAGGGAGGATGACACGAAAACCGGTCGATACTGGGTCGACGATTGCCGCAGAAGGACGCCGCGGACGCACGCTCGAAAGTGCGTAGCCCCGCGGACTGGGAGTGCGTCGACGTCGAGCGGAGCCTCCTGCAGCCAGGCAGAGTCGTCGGCGATGAACGTGAGCGCGCCGAGACGGATCTCGCGGCCCTCAACCAAAACTCTACCTGAAACCATGATGATGGCAATCGGTAAAATTGCAACTTCTCCAATAAGTCGCTAAGACACCTGCCCCAAGGTGGGCGCCAACTATCGTGGTTCTAAGTCTGACAGTAATGTAGGGGAGTACTAAGGAGAGGCAAGATCCTAGCTATGTAGTAGTTGTGCACACAAGAGTTGTACGAGTTCATGCCCTTCTCGGAAGAAGTAACAACCCTACGTCTCGGAGCCCGGAGGCGGTCGACTGGATTGTATGTGTGAGAGTTACAGGGGTGCGAACCCTTCTGCCAGTGGTGGCTTATATAGAGGATGCCAAGACCCCAACCAGCCCACGTAGCGGAGGGTTAAAGTACATTAAGGCCTGGCGTTACTGGTAACGCCTTACATAAAGTGTCATCATGACCATAAAGTCTACTTAATTACAGACCGTTTGGATACAGAGTAGATCTTGAACTCCTAGTGGTCGAGTGAGTCTTCATGGTCGAGTGTCTTCAAGTTCGTCGAGTGTCTTCCAGTCAGTCGAGTGGAATCCCTCTAGGTCGACTGGAAGATGGCTTCATCTAAAGATGTCCTCGGGGAGGGTACCTTAGACAGGTCCATGACCCTACCCTAAGTACATGACTTCATCATGCACCTCCTTCCCGGTGTTGATATGCTTGAAGATGTCGCGGGGGTGGATGGTCGGGGGTGTGAGCGACGTAGCGCTCACCCCATAGCTCCTTAACAGAATGGCGATGAGAGCACGCGTTGCCCGATACGAGCTATGTGGTCGAGGCGTCACCTGCTCCTAGGGATCCACACGTACCCATTGGATACCCCAAATAATGGAGTGTGTTGGGATTCCAATTCGAGCACCCATTGAGGGCAGGATCCTGGCGCGACCTCTAGTGCATAATGGTGATCCAGCTCCTCCTCCCTTCACGACGAGGGAGGTTACCTCCTCCGCTTGCTCCTCATCCACCATCCACTCTTCCTCCTCCGAGAGCGACACCCAGTCCGGCTACAGGGGAAGCGGCATGGCGATGGAGAGGGAGAGGGAGAAAGTGGCTACAGGTAGTCGTGTTGGAAGTGAAGGTTGTGAGCTATTTGGCCGTGGTGGTGACCTTACCCGCGAGCACTTGGAAATGTGGCGAGAGACCGTGGACAGTTAGTAGGTGGCGGCAGCCATTAATTGACATGCTTCCTAATACTATGGCCATTTGAGTGTCTGCATCTTGGCGGGGAGAGAAGATGGGTTGCGCATAAGGCGGGGAGAAAGGAGGAAAACTTCCCTCCCGCACGAGCGGTTGGTGGATGGAGCTCACACCATAATGCCCCCAACATCCAAATATGGAGGTTCCCGACGAAAGCACCCTTCCGAGCTCGAGCTCAAATGAACTCAGATGAACAGTAAAATCGAAAGAAAAAATAATCAAGAAATTTAAAAAAATTATGATTTTTTTGGTAAAACTTAACAAATGTTTTAAGCGTTTGCAATTTTCATCATGAGATCATATTTTTGGAAGGCGTGGCAAAAAAATCCAGTGCTCCAAAATGATTTTGAAAGTAACATTTTTGAAGCATCGTTTTTTTCCTTCGATTTATTTTTCCAAATTGTTTGATTGTACTGTTCATCCGAGCTCATTTGAGCTCGAACTCACATACTCCGCGTCCGGCTCGCAGGCTCTGTATAAAACATCCTTCATAAATTATGGCGACTCGAGGCCATACGACTATGCTAGTGTTCGTCTTTTCACAAAATCATAGTGGTGATTATTTGTGGCGATTGGGTCAAAACGATGACTCTCCCTCCGTATGAAAATACTTGTCATCAAAATGGACAAAAAATGATGTATCTAAAACTAAAATAAATCTAGATACATCCCATTTTATTCATTTTGATGACAAGTATTTTCGGGCAGAGGAAGTACATCTCAAATACTGAATCTAGAAATGGCGTTGCGAAGAAAAGTTAGGAGAAAAATTCAATAGATTTTTTTGTCCAGGTGGCAAATTGCTGGCGAAGGTGGGAGGAGCGGCCGGCAGGCGGCAGCATGCGTACTCTGCTGACGCCACCCCGAAGGATCCGGAAAACCAGAACGATTCTCATCAGAGCGCACCTCCTCCTCCCCTTGCGCGAATGGGCCTCCGCTTCGCCCACCTCGCCGGCGGGGTCGCCCGAGCCGCCTTCTCTCGCCGTGGGCCACACCTCTCCGCAGCGTGCGCCCACCGCGTGCTCGCCCCTCTCGCCTCGCCGGGTGAGCCAAGCGGCGGCAACTGGCTCATCCCTGCCCGCGGCCACGGTGGCCACTCCCACCACCACGGCGAGGAAAGCGGCGAGGCATCTGAGAAGATCTTCCGCTTGGGCCTCGCTGCTGACGTCGTCCTCACCGTAGGGAAAGCCATCACCGGTTACCTCTCCGGCAGCACGGCCATCACCGCCGACGCCGCTCACTCCCTCTCTGACATCGTACGTCTCGGAAACAAGTGCGCAGCCATTTTCTTAATTGATGCTAATGGTGCAGGATTTTGATCTGTGCAGGTGCTGAGCGGGGTGGCTCTGCTGTCGTACAAGGCGGCCAAGGTTCCTAGAGACAAGGATCATCCGTATGGTCAGTCCGAACCTTGTTCTGCTCACCATTCCCACTTTCTCGAGGAAACCAATTGTGCAGGCATACGAGAGACTGCCCTTTCCCTCTTTAACAGAACCAACGATTTGGGTTCAACTCAGCTTGTTTTGATTTCTAATACATGCGAAAAGCGTACTGCAAAATTATCATGAGGGATTCAGATGCAAGAACTAGTAATTCCCAGATTAATTCATCAAGGACACTTTCCACCTTCCATTCTTCAGATTTATGATTAAATTGTTAGGCCCATAAAGAAAGTTAGAGCTCAGAATATGGTCATGATCTGATTATTAATTACCTCATGTTTTTTCAAAATCATTGGTTGGAACAGAACATCGATCTGTCATATGTAACATGTAAGCTCTCACTGTTTGTGCAAGTGCACCATTGCACCTACATGCATGCTCTATGTGCATATCATATCCAGAAGAAAAATAAAACAGGAAAGTGCATTATGCTATTGCTTCTACATTTTACTTGAATGACCCCCTGTTGTAGTAAACAATACATACAACAATGTCGTTTTGTTACCACATTCTCTGCTTGTGCCCACAAAACATTGAGGGTTTACCTATCAACATTTCCTCTCCACTCCCAGGTCATGGAAAGTTCGAGAGTTTAGGAGCTCTTGGAATTTCAAGTATGCTGTTGATTACTGCAGGTGGGATTGCCTGGCATTCTTTTGAAGTTCTTCAGGTCTAATACTTCTCATTAACAATCATGCAAAATTTATGTATTTAAGTTATATTTCCTCTGTTCCATAATTCCAAGAATTATGGAATGGAGGGAGTATCATTCTTTGGTTGGTACTTTTTTTTGACAATAGGTGGATGGTTTCTTCTGATGACTGGTACTCCGGTAAGACATGATTATGCATGGACTTAATGTGCTGAATTCTTTGTTTCAGGGAGTTATGTCTTCTGCTCCTGATATAATTGGCAACACATCACAGATGAATCACAACCATGGTAGTGGTGGGCATAATCATGCAATAGATTTGGAACATCCAGTCCTTGCATTGAGTATGACAACCTTAGCAATATCTATCAAAGAAGGGTATGTGGATAGTGTCATAAAGCATTGCCTAATGGTTTCCGTTTTCTATTAAGTTTGACGATTTCATTTTGTTGCAGTTTGAAATATTGTTCGCTATTTTTTTCGCTAGATTTTACCGTGTTCGATGCAGCCTCTCTGCATTGTACTGTGCAGGGGTAAGGCTTGCCTCAAATAACCCTTCCTCAGACCCCACCTGCTGTGGGAGCTTCTAGCACTGGGTTTGTCCTAGATTTTACTGTGCCATGAGTATACATGGACAACTGCTTCTATTTTCTGTTAGATTTGATGGTCTACCACAACAGATTTTTATATTTAGCATCATCGATAACCCCATACCAAACTTATTTCCAAGGTCTGACCTTTTTGGCAACATTACTGGGTGTGGAGCAGCGAAATCACACTGCCATGCTGCTGGGTGCTGGGCCTGGCGTGGTAAGAACTGCCATATTTCGGCTCAGTACAGGACTTAATCCATGGCGCAGCCAAAAGGGTCAAATCTGTAAATAAGTTTTGGTCTGAATTATAACAGTCATAAAAAAAAAGGGCAGCCCGATGCATGCAGCTCCCGCTTGCGCAGGGTCCGGGGAAGGGTCCGACCACTTTGGGTCTATTGTACGCAGCCTTACCCTACATTTCTGTAAGAGGCGGTTTCCAGGACTTGAACCCGTGACCTCATGGTCACAAGGCAGTAGCTTTACCACTGTGCCAAGGCTCCCCTTCATAACAAATTCATAAAGACGATTAAATTATTAAACTCTTCTGTTTTGTAGCCACTAATTTTGTTTGCTACCTTTGTTCATGGAGGATATGTCTCTACTCTTATAAAAAACCGAGTTGGTGATGATGGCGTGCCTGCCATCTTGCAATATATATCGTTCGATCTATATCTGACGGATAGAAAGCAAACTATGGCAATTTTGCAAAAAGATACCCGCACCTCTCTCCACATTTGCAGATAAGGCGTTCCCTCGTTCATCCTTATCTCCCACAACCTCATTGTTGAGCAATTAAAAAAGAAAGTCTCTGGAACAATCTAGCATGGTGGCCACTGTCGGCGTCGTCCATCCCCATGCCTCCGCTCAGTCCGACCATCAATCACCACCACGCCCCACTCCTCCTCGCCTTATCTCTCCTTTTTCTTGAGATATCATTAGTTTTTACACGTGATTACTCCCGCATGGTTTAATCACAACAGGTGTTTTGTAAAAAAATGCATCTTGATGTTCCGTGCAATGCACGGGCATCTTGCTAGTAAAGCTTGAAAAATTGAAATTTAGTCATGTAGATTACTGTGTGTACAACTTAAACAGGCCATATATTATGATATATTGCTATCATAATGATGATTTTCTAGCCATTTTATATCTGTATCAAGATTTCCTTGTGGTTCTTTGTTTAGTATGAACTTACTTTCTTGATTTTCTTGTAGAGATAAATCTCATGTGATATTTCATAAGATGATTCATCAAGTTTTACTATACTGGAATTACAGGCTCTATTGGATTACGAAAAGAGCTGGGGAGAAGGAAGGGAGTGGGCTGATGAAAGCTAACGCATGGCACCATCGTGCGGATGCTATTTCATCTGTTGTTGCCCTAGTAGGGGTAGGTAAGACCTTCAATGATGCTTGAACTTCCATTTTACTAGAACTTTGTGTTACATTCTTATAACATGAATAGTTGGTTCATTGCTATCGTGAGCCTCGAGTTCAAGATAACACCATGAATCTATGTTTAGAGTCTGAAGTAAGAAATTTGTTTGCATATCAGTAGAGCTCTACTAGGCCTGATGGTGAAAAATGTGTGCATCATTTTGTGTTGTTGTTGCAAAGCAATCTTAGTTTGTGAATTTCACCAAAAGATGTTGTTTACTTATACTATCCTCAAGGAGAAACATGATTTTTTAATACCCTGATTATCTTTCGCTTTTAAATTTTTACAGGTGGCTCCATTGTTGGATTACCTTATCTTGATCCACTAGCTGGCCTTGTTGTCTCAGGCATGATTCTTAAAGCTGGTGTTCAGACAGGATACGAGAGGTAACTATTTTAGGTGTGTCAAGTGATCTTCAATTGAACTCTAATCAATGTATCTTCTTAACAAGTCATGTTTACAGCTATTTTTCATCCGTTTCTCCATATTTAGCGCTTTATACTCTCTGCCTCCAGAATATCGAAATCAAGGGGTAGCTTTCTAAAGGGGTAGCTTTCTAAAGTCACATGGATGGAAACTAATCAATGTATCTTCTTAACAAGTCATGTTTACAGCTATTTTTCATCCGTTTCTCCATATTTAGCGCTTTATACTCTCTGCCTCCAGAATATCGAAATCAAGGTGTAGCTTTCTAAAGTCACATGGATGGAAAAGTATATAAACCATGAAATAATGCAATGTACTCATTTACACCGAAAAAGGCTTTTGCCTCGCTTTATAAATAAAGCAATCACGGAACAAAGTCAACATGGTACCATTTGAACAACACACATACACAACGCCACCGCAAGCAAGGTCCAACACACAGGCACATAAACACTACACAGGTTCAGCTGTGGGCACAGCACAACAAGCCCAACACAGACACAAGGCACGCACAACACATAAACGGTGCTGGCGAGGTAGAGAAGATCTAATCCGGCTTCGGTGGTGGTGGGGGAAGCGGTGGAGCCATCCGGAGAGCCATCACGCGAAGCTGGGTGATGATGGAGGTGATGGCGTCTCTCTCTCTGGGGCGGCTAAGCGGCCGCCAAAGCTGCAAATAACCAGACCATTTAAACAAAGCGTCAATCGCGCGACGAAGAGGGATACGCTGAATCACAAGCTTATTCCTAACAGTCCACAACGTCCAGGCTAGCACACCGATGGTCAACCACCTAATGTGGCGAGACGAGGGTGGTAACGCCTGGAGTTCGGCGAAGAGAGCGGGGAAGTTGTGGTCCCAGCTTCCACCCACTATTTCGCGGAAACAGTTTCAGAGAAACTGCGCGGAGACGCAGGTGAAGAAGATATGGTTCGACTCCTCTTCAGGCCCGCAGAGCGGGCAACGCCCATCACCAGGGCCGTTGCGTTTCAGGACCTCCACGCCGGATGGAAGGCGGCCGCGAATCCATTGCCACAAGAAGATCCTAATCTTCAAGGGGAGCCGAATCTCCCAGATGGTGGTGAAGAGCCTCAGGACCCGACGAGGAAGCTATAGCCTGGTAGAGAGATTTAGCGGAGAATTGCCCAGATGGCTCTAGTCGCCACCTGGTGCGGTCATCTCTGATGATCCACAAGTGTAGGAGATCTATCGTAGTCCTTTTGATAAGTAAGAGTGTTGAACCCAACGAGGAGCAGAAAGAAATAATAAGCGGTTTTCAGTAAGGTTTTCTCTGCAAGCACTGAAATTGTAGGTGATAGATAGTTTTGTGATAAGATAAATTGTAATGAGTAACAAGCAATGAAAGTAAATAAAGTGCAGCAAGGTGGCCCAATCTTTTATGTAGCAAAGGATAAGCCTGGACAATTTCTTATAATGAGAAAGGAGCTCCCGAGGACACATGGGAATTATCGTCAAGCTAGTTTTCATCACGTTCATATGATACTTTGATAATTTGATATGTGGGTGGACCGGTGCTTGGGTACTGCCCTTACTTGTACAAGCATCCCACTTATGGTTAACCTCTATTGCAAGCGTCTGCAACTACGAAAAAAGTATTAAGGTAAACCTAACCACAATATTAAACATATGAATCCAAATCAGCCCCTTACAAAGCAACGCATAAACTAGGGTTTAAGCTTCTGTCACTCTAGCAACCCATCATCTACTTATTACTTCCCAATGCCTTTCTTTAGGCCCAAATAATGGTGAAGTGTCATGTAGTCGACGTTCACATAACACCACTAGAGGAAAGACAACATACATCTCATCAAAATATTGAACGAATACCAAATTCACATGACTACTAATAGCAAGACTTCACCCATGTTCTCAGAAACAAACGTAACTACTCACAAAGCATATTCGTGTTCATAATCAGAGGGGTAATAATATGCATTAATGATCTGAACATATGATCTTCCACCAAGTAAACCAATTAGCATCAACTACAAGGAGTAATCAACACTACTAGCAACCCACAGGTACCAATTTGTGGTTTTGATACAAGATTGAATATAAGAGATGAACTAGGGTTTTGAGAGGAAACGGTGCTGGTGAAAATGTTGATGGAGATTGACCCCCTCCCGATGAAAGGATTGTTGGTGATGACGATGGTGATGATTTCCCCCTTTCGGAGGGAAGTGTCCCCGGCAGAACAGCTCTGCCGGAGTCCTAGATTGGTTCCGCCAAGGTTCCGCCTCGTGGTGGCGGAGTTTCGTCCCGTAAGGCTGCCCATGATTTTTTTCAGGGTAAAAGCCCTCATATAGCAGAAGATGGACACCGGAGGGCCACCAGGGGGCCAGGAGACAGGGGGCGCGCCCACCCCTACTGGGCGCGCCCCCATCCTCCTGGCCAGGGTGTGGGCCCCCTGAGGTATTTCTTTCACTCAATAATTCTTATTAATTTCAAAAACAGGTTTCGTGGAGTTTCAGGATTTTTGGAGCAGTGCAGAATAGGTTTCCAATGTTTGCTCCTTTTCTAGCTAGAATTTCAGCTACCGGTATTCCCCCTCTTCATGATAAACCTTGTAAAATAAGAGAGAATAGCTATAAATATTGAGATATAAAGTGTAATAACAACCCATAATGCAATAAATATTGATATAAAAGCATGATGCAAAATGGACGTATCAACTCCCCCAAGCTTAGACCTCGCTTGTCCTCAAGCGGAAGCCGAAATCGAAAAATATGTCCACATGTTTAGAGATAGAGGTGTCGATAAAAATAAAATACGGATATGAGGGCAGCATGATCATTCTTATAACAGCAACATATATAGATCTATCACATGCTTTATTATACTCAAGTAACAATCAATTCACAATGTCAAGTATGATTCAGAAACTTTGTTGGGAACTAACAAACTATAATCTCAGTTATTGAAGCAATTGCAATTTATCATAACATCAGAAAGAGTCAAGAATAGAGCTTTTCAGTAAGTTCACATACTTAACTATTATGTAGTCTTCTACAATTGCTAACACTCACGCAATACTTGTGGTTATGGAGCTTTAGCCGGACACTGAAAAAGATAGGGGCTTATTGTATTGCCTCATAACATATTCATCTTTAGGTGATGTCAACAATAATAGCCCATGCTAACTTGTATCCAATTGAATATATGTGTCATGATCTTTTAAACATGAAGAGTTTGCCAAAGGATAAAATGAAAAGGGAAAGGTGAGGATCACCTTAACTCAAGCATAAAGTAAAAACATAAAGTAAAAGATAGACCCTTCGCAGAGGGAAGCAGAGGTTGTCATGTGTTTTAGGGTTGGATGCACAAAATCTTAATGCAAAAAACGTCATTTTATATTGCTCCTTATATATGGATCTTTATTATGCAGTCCGTCGCTTTTATTGCTTCCACAACAAGATCGTATAAAGCTTATTTTCTCTGCACTAATAAGTCATACATACTTAGATAGCAATTTTATTGCCTGCAACATGACAACTTACTTGAAGGATCTTACTCAATCCATAGATAGGTATGGTGGACTCTCATGGCAAAACTGGGTTTAAGGATATTTGAAGCACAAGTAGTATTTCTACTTAGTGCAAGGAATTTGGCTAGCATGAGGGGAAAAGGTAAGCTTAACATGTTTGGAAGGTCAATGACAATATACTTTAACTGAGATGTGAGAAAGCATAAACCATACGTTGTCTTCCTTATCCAACATCAACTCTTTTAGCATATCATACTTAATGAGTGCTCCCAATCATAAAAGATGTTCAAGATAATATATTTATATGTAAACCTCTCTTTCCTTATTATTTTCTATTAATTTGCAACAATGACCAAAACTACGTTTATCAACTCTCAACAACTTTTATGCCTCATACTTTTTATGTATGAAGTCATCACTAACCATAAGATCAATATGAACTCTTTTATTCTCTACTTTCTTAAGATCATAGCAACATAGAAAAGCCCTTGACTCAACATTAATCTTTATTATAGAGCTCACAGACTCAATTACATAAAGAGATCACAAAGCTTAACTCAAAACTACTTGATATCAAAACTTCAATCTACTAGATCAACATACTACTAAAAAGATCGAACTAAATAAAACGGTAAAGATAGAAGTGTGATGGTGATACGATACCAGGGCACCTCCCCCAAGCTTGGCAGTTGTCAAGGGGAGTGCCCATATCCATGTGATTATGTTCTCGGAGGTGGTGAAGTAGGAGTTGTTGATGATATAGGCTTGTCGTCCATCTTCCTCAATTTACGCTTGAGTATAGTATTTTGCTCTTTTAGGTCCTCGATCTCTTGCTCAAGGCTTAATACTTTTTTGCACAATTTCTGTTTATTTTCCTGCAAGAGATGAAAAGGGATAAACTCGATTTTTGGCTTCTTTACTTTATCAGGGAGGCTTGACTTTTTAAACTTCACATGCATATCCCCAGATTGAGGTAATGGGGTTTCGTCCTCGTCTGAACTTGTCTTCTCCTTTCCCTTAGGCTCATAGTCTTCTTTTTCTTCAGAGGTTCAGCCGTCATGTTCCAAGTCCTCGTAGACCTTAGGGTCTGCAAGGTAATCAGCCATGTAGCTTTCCCCTTTCCAATCCTGAGATGACATAATGTTCTAAATCTGCAACAAAAATAGCTCGAAACTAAAACAGAAGATATTTACGTGATACGGTGGTCAAAACCTTCGGGAATTTATATAATGAATTTTTACCGACCAAAATACGTAACGTGCAAGAAAACGGAGTCAGGGAGGCACACGAGGTGTCCACGAGACAGGGGGGCGCGCCCAGTAAGGGTGGGCGCGCCCTTCACTCTCGTGGAGGCCTCGTGTCCTTTTCGGACTACTTCTTTCTTCCTAAAATTCTTAAATATTTCAAAACTGATAAAAATTACCAATGGAGTTGTTTTGGAGTCGGTTTACTTACCG